TGTGTGTGTGTGTGTGTGTGTGTGTATATATATATAATATTCTGTAACTTCGGTCGTTGCTGTGCTTTTTTGGAAATCGAATTTCCCAGAGGAACCCACCCGAGGGATTAATAAAGTTCTATCTTATCTTATCTTATCTTATCTTATTTTAAATAAGATTTGGCCCGGAGAAAGCAGTGCTATTTCTGGATTATTTTCACTTCTTACTTATTTTTTTGCATGAAAAAGCTTTAACCTGCATTTGCGTATGGCATGGGGAAGTGTTCCTTAGCTCATCCAGTGATTTTCATGACAGAGTCATGCCTACACTGCAAAAACTCAAAATCTTACCAAGTATATTTGTCTAATTTCTAGTCAAAATAATCCCATTACACTTAAAATAAGAAAGTCAGCTAGAGAGTAACATTTAAGTTAGATATAGAAACTTGTTTTTAGACAGTGCATCTTGGACCTGGAGAATTTTCACTTGTTCCATTGGCAGTTTTTTCACTTAATACAAGATATTCTTGCTTGAAATAAGTGAAATAAATCTGCCAATGAAACAAGTGATGATCTTCCATTGGCACCCTACGATGATGCAGTAGATGATGAGATAGTCACAGACTTCACAAATTTACATTGAGGAACATTATTCTGAAATTGTTCAGTAATTTGTAGATGCATTTTGTTGCAGACCAGTAAACTCTGCCCATCTTTATTTCAGAGAAACTCTGCCTCCCCAAGATGATATTTATTTCATTAATTAACTAATTATTGTACAATGGTTCTGTTTTTTTTTTTTTTTAGCACCACTTACTTTTTGTCACAATCATAACTTAAAAAAAAACATTTTTCCTAATCCTGGGTCTTTGATCCAGAGTTGTGAGGTTTTGTAATGAATTCTTGCTTATTATTTAAAGTTCTGTTTGTTATCTAGTTTTTTTAATTGTTACATTCAATTGTTATGTTTCTCCTTTATATCTTGAGGTTTCTGGCTGTTTATTTCCAGTAGTTGTTTTGGCAGGATACATAGATTCTTGTGCTATTTTTTAGCCTTGTGTTCGTCTGCGTTAAGTTTGAGTGTTTTCTCAGGTAATTCCTGCATATTTATTTGTATTATTAGCCTTCTCTGTCTTGTTTGTAGTTCAACATCTTTAGTGCTGCAGAAATGTGCTGGTTAGCAAAGCTGCCTTATATTCCACCTGTTGAGTAGCTGATTGACATCTTAGGATCAATACTTAGTTGGCTTTGTTTATTACTGAAGAATGATGGTTTAGTTTAAGTGATTCGAATGTATAACAAGTGTGATGCCACTTTTATGGATTTTTAACCATTTTATTATACAGTAGTTGTTAATTTACACATTTACACAGAAAATAGAAAATATATCAAATGTTTAAATGACAAAAATGTGTCATTTGAACAAGAACAGTTGCTCATTTTGAATTTGATAGCAGCAACACAAAATATATATA